AGAAGACATGAATTATAACAGGATTGGAATCTATGTGCTTCACTTGTAACAACAAAAGCCAAAAAGTGACATGGTGAACCTGACACAGCCTACCTGTTGTGCATTTCACATCCTGTGTTTCTTCTGGGGCTCTCACAGAGCCAATCTGTGGGCAGTGAGCTGAATCACTGAGGACACAGCAACCAAGCAGCTGAAGTGGGAGCCCTCAGCTCACAGAACCAAACCCTGACTTGCTTCTCATGCACACACAGTCCATCTTGTAAGCACATTATAGCCCAAAAATTGTGATTACTTACTATGTCTTTTCCCTTTGATTTCTTCTCCTCAGATATTGATGAATGTGCAATAGGAACCCACAACTGTTCAGCTGCGGAGTCTTGCTATAACATTCAGGGCAGTTTCCGCTGCCTGTCCTTTGAGTGCCCCTCCAACTACAGAAAGGTGTCTGATATGTAAGTATGGCCACTGCAGTAGTAGCCATGTTGGAGTTCTGTAGTGCTTTGGTGTGGGAGTGGTTCTAAGCACTCAGAGCTGTAATAAACTGCTTTGGTCCCTGGAGCACATAAAGTTTTCATGCACAGAATTGTCAGTTTTTCTCTTTTTCCTTCTTCCAGACCCCAGAGATTCCATTTATCTCCTGCTGCTGTAACAGCAGTCACCAGAGCTTCAGTCATACTTTCCCATACTCACCAAAGCTCTAAAAGGACTCTGTATCTAAGTTTTAAAAAATCTACTGCTGCAACTCCTTGAGTGGTTTTAGGGCTCCTTGGCTAAAATTCGTGTTGCAGCTCCTCAGAGATGCTTGAAACATTGAAGGGCAGTAGGATAAGAAGGCTGGCAGGTTCAGGAACTGTTGGACTCCATAGCACCCAGTTCCTAAACCACTAAGAAGACATGGGAGCCCCAGCATCTCCCTGCCCATTTCCTGCCAGCACTTTGGAAAGCCAGAGGAAAGTTTAAAAAACTCCTGGGTTGTAGAGTGGGAAACAGTTGAGTTGCAAGAGAAACAGAAATATGGAGGAACTTGGAGAGAATCTCTTTCCGTCAGAAATGCAAAGCTGCATTTGCTGTAGGAAATCTTAGTTGCTTATCACTTAAAACAGTCTTTTCCTGCCTAATAGGATTAGCAGCTTTTCAAGCTGAGGACTTGGTTTTCCCTTGTTTTGATCTTCTTGGAGCACTGCCCCAAGCTTACGCTGTCAGTGATGAATTAGACTCCCTCCAAGCTCTGTGCTTATATTTGTTGTGCCATGATTGTTTTCTTCCTCTGTTGTACTCTGACAATTTTATCATTTACCATTTCTTTACGGATGCTATAAAAGCAGAGTAAGCAGCTGGTGATTACACAGGTGAAGGATGGGACTTTTGTTTGCCTAGCACAGGCTGAAGACTTCCTTGACGTTGCAGTTCTCTGAAATGCATACATGATTTACCCATTACATGGACACTGACAGTTCTTCATTTTGCTTCTCATAGGAGGTGCGAACGAATCAGTTGCTTTAATTATCTGGACTGCCAAAATACCCCGGTGCGTATCACCTATTACCAGCTGAACTTCCAAACCAACATCATGGTCCCAGCGCACATCTTCCGTATTGGACCATCGCCTGCCTATGCTGGAGACAACATAATCCTTACTATCAACAAAGGAAATGAAGAAAACTACTTCAGCACCCGGAGGCTGAACTCATACACGGGCATTGTCTATCTTCAGCGACAGGTCAAAGAGCCTAAAGACTTTTTGTTAGATGTCGAAATGAAACTGTGGCGTCAGGGAACATACACTACTTTTCTTGCCAAAATTTACATTTTCATCACAGCTCATGCATACTGAAGCATGTATTGACGTTGGAATTTATTGGTGCTATGCTCTTTACCTGTTCTACCAAAGCTTAATATTGTTGAACTGGCATTTAACGTATCTAGCCTTTATGTTATTTTTCTGTCATTGTTTTAAACTTTTTTTATTGGTTGTGTAAATTAAGTTAATTTTTTTCTTTGTTGTTTTGCTTTCTTATGTAATTCTTCACATCATCATTTGACAATGAGCAAAAGAAGGGTTAGAAAGGCAGTACGTACATTGTGTTACATGCAGGGATCTTTTCTTAGAAATTACTTTTGGGTTTAGTCACATCTGCAAGGTATCACGCTAGAGAGGAGAGATGTTCACTTAGGAGCATTGCTTTTTGCATTAGGAGAAGAAAGGCTTGAGCAGTTTCTCTTTACTACACAAACTTATGGTTTGGCCGCTGAAGTTTTCCTTGTTGAGATACTGTGTCAAGGGCTGTGCATATGCATTGACAGTTGACTCACCTCCTGTTACAGGTTTGTTTTCCTCCTTCCATCTTTTATAATATGTTGCCTTAAAATATATATAAATAAAAGAAAACTCCACCAGTGAACAAGCCTATGACTGAACCTTGCTTTAGTAGAACTGCTCCTATGATAGACTTTGGCAAGACCTTGGCCTTCAGAGGATATTGTGCTTCAGGGGAAAAGCTCGCACTGCCATTCTTAATAGTTTGCTATAGGTTCTTGAATTCTTCTCTGCACAAAAGCACTGTGTTTAGGTAACCATATGTGTAGACTAGATGTATTATAATTCTTAAAGGAAAGTCAAAGAGGAAATGTGGAAATAATCAACTGCTGCCCTTTATTTTAAGTCCTGTGTGTGCTGCTGAGGAATCATTTGCAATTTTAAATAAACAAAAGGGGAGTTGCTTCTGTTCTTTAGGAAAATTACTTCAGTTGTATTACCAAATGACGCAGAGGAAAATGCTAGTTAAACTGGTGGTTTGTATTATGCCGTTTAGAAACAGCACAACTTAAGTTTTGAGTTGGATTTCCTCTAGTTCCACAGGAAACTGGAAGAGGTCCAGAGCTGAAGGCCAGATGTGGTAAAGCTTAGTATAATCAAAGTGTTTGTTAGAATTTAGAAATGAACATCAGAGAGTCTCTTTTCTGAGGGAAAAGAAAAAGCTCCAGTGTTGAAACTCACTGAACTTCCTTTGTTCTGGCTATAATTACTCCGTAAAATGTTTTGATGGAAAAACATAGCTACAATATATTTACACTGCATTTTGATAATCTGTTCTTTGCTACAGTCATTCTTATTTTGACCGGTGTGTACTTAACATTTTTTTAAAAAGAGAGAGAGAAAGAAAGAAAGAGAAATCTTACGGCTTTTTATGCTATAATCAATACTTCTATTATACTGTAAAAATAGTTGTTTGAAATACATCTTAAAATCTTACAACTACCACCAACAGGGTGAAAGGGGAGATGTACTGTGTTCATTATGTCCCAAGGCCAACTTCTACCAGTCCAGGTAAATTACTTATTTAATTCAGACTCCCTTATTGATGATAAAGCAGAAATCTTTCTGTGTCTCACATCATAAAGACTTACTGCTAGAGAAGAAATATTGCTATTCCTCAGTTGTAAAATATGGGATATCTGAACGTTTGCATACGTTCAGTTTCTTGGTTTGTTTTTGTTTGTTTTGTTGTTTGTTTGTTTGTTTTTTTTTGTCTATAAAAGTAATTTTGTAAAAGCGATCTTCCATCTATCTTTTGTTTTCCATAGCTACCAGTTTCATAAGCTTTTAGCAAAGAAATGCTGACAGAGAAGCACATGTTTATGCAATTTGTCATCTCAATTAATGCATATCTTACAGCTACAGGCCTGGAAAGATGAAGAGGCAACTGTAAGAAGGAATAGGAGAGCCTTCCAGATTCATTATGCTGCATACATGTAAAGTGGTGATATGTTTCTCCATGCCCCAGTGGGACACATAGGAGCCACTGAAACCCAGAGTTTTCCATCAGCATTAGTATGTGATTGAGTGTAAATGATATTCATGCACCAACAGCCTTTCTTGTCAGAGAACAAACGGACAAGGCATTTGTTACTCAGAGACCTTCTGCTGACTACAAACAACTGCAGTCAATCATATTAAGGACCTGGCAGTTTGTAGCACAGACTTTTCATTTTATAGACAGGTAGTTGATGAAGAAAGTTTTAGGAAAGGCTTTGCACACGATTATAAGAAAAATGGTATGTTATTAAAAAATGTCATCATTAGCACTGTGTACAGCAGGCATTTGATACATATAGAAATGGCTGCTTGTTGCAACTGGTCCAAGCAAAGAAAAGACTGGTGGTAGAATGGAAGATTGGAAATGAGGTTTATGTGACTTTTTTGAACAATGGGTGTTCTGTTTAATTTTTCAGATTATTTACTCCCTGCCTCTATGAAATGACCTCTTTGTATTTGGTGATTGTATTTCTTGGGTGATCCAGCAGTCCTGAGAACTAAGGAAAAAGAAATGAAAACCTGTGTGTGTGCTGGAGACTTGAGCGGGTCAATTACAGTTTGAAACATGAAGGGTGTTTTTGACTGGAATTTTCTTAACATGTAAGTAGCAGTACGTGGGTGAGAAAGCTGCTTTTTAGCCAGAATTTTGAATGGCTTCCTTTTTGCACCAGGGAGGAAGTATTTTCCTATCTCTTTGTATGTAAAAATACACACATATGGATTACTCCAGGTACTGATGAGTTGGTACTAGTATTCCTTTGTGAGTTTAATATAGAAAACAGGTATCAGAGTGCTCATCTTATGCCTTTCTCGTTCTGTTCATACTGGTGGGTAGGAGTATGGTTGCACATCACTGAAGAGTCAGCTGTAAATTTTAGTGGACTCAAATTCTGCTATTAGCTCCAAGATCACATGAACAAAACTTTATCCGCCTTTATTTCTTTACATCTTTGTGTTGCTCGGCCTCTAACTCTGCCTTGCTGGTCTGTTCAACTTCTGCAACACTTTGTATCTTTTATTCTTGCAAGTTGGGACAGAGAAAGATTCCAAACTTAGGGATTTTATATTTTGAATCATCTTTTGAATTTGATACTGTAATAGAGGATAAACAGCAATAATAGTTTTAATATTATGGCACGTGATGTGCTCTTCTGCAAAGGTCCCATTTGAAACATTAGCAGTACAAGGTGGGGATATTGCAGGGAGCAGGAGAAATCCTGAGCCTTCTCCTCATTCCTCTGCTGTGAGAAGCAGTCAATCGAGGAGGAGATAGCTCCCCTGCACACACACTTCTTTGGATGAGGTACAGCTGCTCCCTGTTAATGGATATTACCTGGGCCACTGCTCACCTGTAGATTGCTACAGCTCTGGGAGCCTGGAGTCATTGTGAAACTAACAAATTGGCTCTGTGTCCCCAGCTGGTAGTGCTTTGCTGGTACCAGCACCTGCCTACAATCAGCTTCTGGGTGGAGCTGGGCACTGGGCTAGGGCTATTTCTCCTTTGCCTGCTGGGTCTGTGTGTGCTTGTGCTGTTATTTGCTTGTATGGTATTGGAGGTGGTGGTGTTCTGAAAAGTGTTGCTTTTCAGAGTGTGTCTAGAAAGAAGAGAGTGCTGAAGCTGTATGCACAAGATGGAAAGCAAAGAAGGGTAAGATACACAAAAAAGTAAGATTTTATGGTTGTTTGGTGATGTTTGTGGTGATGAATCTGGGTTTCTGTGTAGTCCTAGGTAAAGACTTGTGCGTGTGATTAAAACCAGTGTCCTTTTATGGGTAGGTAACTTTTTTCCTTTAGACCTTTGAAGGGCAAAAGTTGCTTTCATCTGGTTTGCAGGATGGGGGGAAGCTGCTGCAGATTCTTCTTCCCTATTCTTTACAGTTGTTTTCTATTTTTTCATATTTCCATTATTCCTGCTTGTGCTATGAGGAAGAGAAAGTTCCAGCTGGGGGGAATTAGGATGCTAGAGTAAAAATAGATTCTGAGGTTAAATAAAAATGTCTTCCCACTTCTAGGATTCTCTGCGTGATGGAGATGTTCATTTTGAAACGGCTATTGAAAACTAGGATTTAATTATATCCAGTTTTCATCATGTGAAATGAAAGTCTCAGACTTGAGCTTTTTGTCTTCTAAAACACTTTTTTCTCATTTGCCTGTGCTTTATAAATAGTAATCTATGGGTGGGACCATTCCAGAGCTTAGGAGTCCTTCATTTTTTGTTCCTTAAGGGCTCTTGTTCAATGTACCCTGACACGGACTGCCAGAGATGGCAGGTTGGTGCTTCTCCTTGCTCCAGAGCTCTGTGGGCTCATTGCTGCCTGGTGCATGAGAGGAATGGTGTCTTTCAGCCTACCTGGCTCATGTGGCTTCTCAGGAAAGGTGCAATGCTAGCTTCCCATGAGCAAAAGCTCCTGATAGAGTAAGGTTATAAATTCTAACATGTGTTATGGATTTTCTGTTTTTAGCTGGGAATGAAGAGGGAAGGATGTCAGTGTGGTGCCCTATGTACTGAGAAGGGAGGGAGGGGAGGAGATCCTTTGTGCATCAACAAGTCTTCTGAGACGTAGCCAAGAACTGTGCTAACTGCAAAAATTCCCCACAATAAATTAGAAGTCTCGTTCTATTTTGGAATAATAGCAAAACACGCAAAGTGGTAAACTTCTCTGTGTCATCATTTTTAGAAAGTAATTGTGGAAAATACTAACAACAACTGATTCCACTTAAATTAAAGAGAAGATATGCTAAATGGAGATATTAAGGCTTTGAGAGAATGGAAGAGTAGAGATGCCGTTCTGGTTATTGTGGGCACCAATGAGCTATGCTCCAAACAGGGGTTTTGGCTCATTGTGTTTATACAACTACTGGTTGCAGACACATGCTCTGGATTCTCCCAAGTACTGATGGCAAGGAGTTGTACATGGAATGCTTTCAGCTTGGGAAAAAGGCTGATAATCTTAGAATGAAGTATGTTTGGAGTAGAGTGCTGCCATTTTGGGAATTTGAACAAATACGTAAAGAGTGATATGGGGTTGACAAGCACACATCTTTCTAGGCAACGTATCATGATGAAAAGTTTGCTTTTGTTAGCAATGGCAAAGTAAATTCTCTAAGCAAAGGATAAAAGTCATAGAAGTGAGAGATCCTTGTTATAACTATGAGACAGAACAGGCCACATCTGACTGTAGCTGTAATACCCAATAGATACTGGTCACTGCACCTTGAAAGTGAAGATGTTCCCTCATTAAGTTGGGATGGCAAAGCTCAACTCCCAAATGCATTTCAGGGTAGATTGAAACATGTCTTCCCTTGCTGCCATAGGGAACTTTTTGTGTTCTGCAGTTAAGATAGAATGTTGAGCTGCTGCAGTGAATGTGAAGTTCACTCTCTTCTTACCAATGTCCTTCACAGGCTTATAAAAGAATAATCCTAGTTAATCTTAACTGCTGCAGAGAACTGTTACAATTAATCTTATTATCTTTCAGGTGTACCTTTGAGAAATAGCTTTCACATTGACCAGCAGTATTTCATACAGCTTCAGAGTGTCTAATGTACAAGAGTATAATTCTGGAGTAAATATACAATGCTGTCTCAAATACCTACTGCGGGTAGGGAGGGGGGCTGTGACTGGCCATCAGTGTAATCATCAGCTATGTGTCACAATAACCATGTTCTACACTTCAGATGTTTTTCTAATTAGGCCAAGTATACAGTATTATAACCAATATATTGTACTGCCTAATGTAAATTAATGTGAATGTGCTGTGGTATTGATGAGAGCAAAATGTAATTCTGTAGTAACTCATGTTTGGTATCACTGGAGTTGGGAGGGCACAAGTGTGGAACTCAGTCGTGATTGTCAAGGATTTCTGAAATCAGCATAGCACTTGAATTTGCAGTTCAGGGGAGTCTGTAACAGGAGTTGTATTTGTAGAGTGAGTTTTTCTATAGCACACGCTCTCCTGTATCTTCCCATATATTAGATGATGGTTCTCCAAACTGGACTTGCACATGCAAGAGTCTGCGTTCTTATTTATACAAAATCAGCAGTTACTGATGCAAGTGATCCCATTAATTGGAAAGGCTTGAGTACTTGACTGGGACACAGAAAATCCAGAATCTGTTCTGGGCTCTGTCCAAGTGGGTAACTGGATGCAAATCTATTGCACTTAGTTACAGCCTCCAGAAGTTCTTGCATTCAATACAAGAGTTATAAAATAAACCCTCTTGCTTTACTCTGTAACAGTGGTATCAACTGTGTATGTTGTGGTCATATAGATATTATTCCAAGGTTAAAGACTGGCATAAATTCTGCTGATTCCTTCTTCCTGGTGATCAGAAAGTCTTGTGTAGCAGATGCCAGAGATGGAAGGGGTGAGATCAAGTGGGGTCACAAGAGTTTTTATGCCATGTACCACTAGCCATCTTCTGCTAATTTGGGTAGTACTAATAAATTCAAAACAACAATGAAAAAATTCAGTTACCTTGAAAATAAGGACATCATAAGAAAAGTTATTGATTTAAAAAACAAAGAAGTATATAATGACCAATATTCTCTGTAGCTGTTGATGCAGAGCTCCACTGAAGTGAAAGTTAAGCGAAGTCAGAGCTTTAATCACAACTTAATTTTCTCTCTGAGGAGAGGAAGGGAGGTACGTACATGACAGATGCCTGTTGTGTTGCATGAATTACATCTGAGGGATTCTGACGCATACGGTAGTGATGACTGTATTTGATTATGGTTACTCCATGCAACTCTTTAAAGACTCTTTTTACTTGTAAGTTGGGAAGAGGTGGAAAGATGCTTTTTAAAAAAAAAAAAAACTGACAACTAGCATTAATCACACAGTATAAGACTTCTCCAACCTTTCCATTAGTCCTTTATTCTGTATGAAGAGAGTGTGGGCTGCTGGTTTGGATTGGTTTGTTATTGTTGTTTAGTTGTTTTGATTGATAAGTGTTTAGAGAAAAGGAGGTACAAAGTGTTCCCCATCTCTGCTGTAGGTATGTTGTGCTGGAAATGTGTGTGTCACTTAAATAGAGCCCAAGTCTTCAGCATGCAGTGCAGAGAGAATCACAGAATCACGCAGGTTGGAAGGGACCCCAAGGATCATGTAGTTCCAACCCCCCTGCCTAGCAAGCCTAGAGGCTTGAGTTGCTTTGCACAAATGAAGCTTACCCGCTCAGGACTGCAGAAGTCCCTACTTAGCAGTGCCCACAGTCTGCCTGTTTGTAGAGATCTCTGGACTTCCACACTGTATTTTGTGTTTCTAAATCAGCAGCAATCTTCATCTCTTCCATTTATGAATTCCACTTGCAGCCTCTCTTCCCTTCTGCAGTTGCATCCTATAGTTTTCTTGGTTTCCCCCTATTGTAGGAGGCATTTTTCCTCTATCTGTCCCTATAAAAAGTTCAAAACCACAATCATTCAAAAACACATCTACCTTTTCTTCATTGATTGCTTAGAGACTGCACCATTGTTAGCAGCTTGCTAGTTTCACAGCAGTGCTATTGATCTGCTAGTCCAGAATCTGAAGAATAGCAATTTAAATTACACTATAGTTTTAAACTCTGCAATGTGGCAGGTTTGAAGGCAGCTGTTCTGGATGCTGCTGGGAATTACCAGAGAACATGATGTTGAACGAGTGCCCTGGGAAATCATTAATAAATAATGACTTATTTTTCCTTTTTATTAATTTTTTTTTTGAGTGCACTTGTTGAAGAAATCAAATGTGGTGTTTAATGTTATATACTTGTTCTTACATGTTTTCTATGTAAAAGTTTTTGATGGTTTTGAATTCTTCAGCTTATGTCCCTAAGCATCACCTCTTCTATCAGTTAACTTGGCGAAGGGCAGTGGGCACAGCCATGGTAGTGTCTGGCACGATGTTCAGGCCCTTCACTCAGTTCAAGGCATGTTGTGGATATGGACCTGGTTATTTTTATTCTCATTTTTGCTTCTCGTTTTAATGGTGATATAGCTGACAGTCTTGAACAGCTGAAGTGGAGACACGTTTCAGGGAAAGTAGTTGCATGGTAATGATTGAACTGGTCATAGAAAGTGAAGGGCTGATGGGATGATTTATTTTCTTTACCTGTTGACACTGGAAGATTTTGAGGGGGGAAAAAAAAGTCCAAGACTAGTTGTTACCTGAAGTCACTGTTTTCCTGAACTTGCCTCTTGTCAGTGGTTTTTGCCATTACACTAACTGAATTATTTTGTAAATTGCTATATTGCAGGCAGGGATTGCCATTTTCAAATGCAAATCAAGGTATTTTATTATCTCAGTTGTACTGCAGCTTTCTTTTGAAAATCAATAATGTAAAGATTTGTGGGCAGGCTCACTTTCTTCTAACACTGATCTAGTTACTTAATAAAATAATAGTTTCCTCCCTACCTTCTCCTACTGTTTTTCTCCTTATTTTTTATCTTAGCCACTGAAGAAATATGCTTTATGAGAACACAGAAAATGATGCATTTAAACTTGTCACAGCAGTTCGAAGATAGAGAGAATATGTTTTTCTTCTGCTGATTGCTTTTCTTGGACCATTAGTTGTTCAAAGCAGAGAGGAAATAGAATGGGGGCAAGTCAGATTCAGTAATAATTGTTTGGAGTTGAAACTGCACGTGAGCTCCCCATGTGTATTTTTTTA